GAAAACCTCTTTGCCTGCCAGAATGCATAAGAAAGGCCTTCATGTGCAGGTGGAGAACACCACCAACCACCAACCCTTTGATGTGGAGTGGGAGAGGTTCTTGTGGAAAGTGACAGCTCAGATGGGTCTGCCAGAGCAGAGGCAATTTGCACATTATAAGCAAATACCTTCAGCTGAGCTGTAACCAATGGAAAAAAAGAAGAGACTAAGATGGAGATTAAAGTAAGGGAAAATGAAATGGGGACTGCAGTTCTCCGGCTCTTGTAAAAGCAGGGGGAAAACCACCACATTTTAGATGGCTCTCACCATGCCTTCTTTTACACCAGAGCACAGAAAAAAGTTAATTTTTCCAGGTTTGGGTCTCTGTTCCTAGCTCCAGCCAGCTCATGCTGCTTCCTCCATGTGTTCAGAGCCTCAGCCTGAGGATCATGTTCATCCTATCCAACCTAGGAAGCCAAGGCACCTTTGGGCTACCCTTCCCCTGAGAACAAATTCAAACCCCTTCACCAGTTACAAATGGGTTGCCATGAACCCAGGGCCACAGAATCTTCTGCAGCAACCTCAATGTGATTGTCAGACAGTCTCAGAAGCAAGTCCATCCACTGCACAGCAGAATGATACCTCTCCTTCTGACATAAGAACAAAGTTATGGTGCTTTCCAAATGGGAGGACAAAACTACATTCCAATCACTATGAAAATATGGTAGGAATGATCCCCTTATCTCATGTTTATATCAACTTCTTTATTCCTGATAAGAAACAAGGGAACTTTTGGGTCTTCCCAGATGCGATAAGTGAGGTGAGGGGAACGTATTCTGTCACAGATCCCACTCATACTGCTCAAGTCCTGAAGGGAGCTATTCCAATTTTTACCTGTTAAAGCTTTCTGACAAACCATGCCTACACAAATGCTACAAACCCAGCGCATTTTCTATTCAATAGCTATCTTGCACTTTCAAAAGATCAGTCAGTCTGGCAACCCTCACTGATTTTGGAAAAATCACATGTAGATGTTTCTGTGGGTTTTGTTCATCATACAGTTAGCAGAGTACTTAGGACAGAAATTATCCCTGACATGAAAAAAAAAACCAAAACAAAACAAAGCAAACCCACCAACCAAACCAAACCAAAACAAAAAGAAAACCCCATAAAACTCAAAACAACAACCCAACCCAAAAACTAAACTGCGAACAGGAAGAGCTGCATCTGTTCAGTGCTGATTGTAATCCACCCTTTTCTTGTACCATTGAGCTTGCAAAGTCAGCCACCCAAAGTACTGGACATCTAGCAGTCCTTGGAGGGACAGGAACATGACAAGACACATTAGAGAAATGACTAAAACCACAGAGGTGGGACTCCCAATATCTGTTTCCTCAAAACTGTGAAGCTATAAATAAGGGAACCACCGCCCTTTCCTCTCCAGTGGATGCCTGCTTACATTTGAAGCTCTTCACAGTCAGGTGTGACAAATGCAGTTTATCACACGGTCTGAGATTTATCCTGTGTCTCTGCAAATTATTGCATCACGTGGATAATCCCACAACACACACAAACACATCAATTCCACCACTACAGAGCAGTGTGAAACTTGATGGTTTCTATTTCTTTAAACCCACACAGCAGCTGAGGCACAAGCCAGCCTTCTCCATGTCATGACAAGTGTAGAAGCAGTGAACATGGTACCACTTCCATTTGCCCTGCAACCAGCCAGCAAGATGATGTACAGAGTAAATAGCACATATAAGAGAGAGGAACTCTTTAGTTAGACAGACATGCTCTTTAGACTGAGGAGGGCTCAATATGCAATATGTGTTTGCAGATAGTTAGCCAGAAAAGCAGATCCAAATAGCACACAGTTAAATTCCTGTTCAGAGCATTGCAGAGAGCATGGGAACTCAGTTACAGAACTTTTTCAAGTATAGATTCTTGCATATGCACAAAGTGCAGAGACATCACGTATGGTCTGTTTCTCCTGGCACCCCCAGTCCCTAAAAGCAATCTGCTCTAGATGTTCCCAGCCAAGTCTGACCATGCCTCCCCCACTCCTAACTTCACACCCCATTTCCCAGTCATATCCTCCAATCCTCCTTTGATCTGGGCTTGCAGAGGCTTAGTGCTTATCTAGTGTCACTGGGGACACTCACCTTTAATGCCAAGGGCTACTGCTCACAGACAGTAGTAATGCCTGAAAATGGCAATAAGTAGTAATGTCTGGGGCATGGCAAAACAAGCAGAGTTACAGCAGCTGCAAGCTGCTTGCTTGGGAAGAGCTTCAGCAAAGGCATGGCACTGTGTGGGAAAGCTTCACCCTCTCATTGCCCATGGAAATGCTAATTCAGATTCTCACTTCTTAAATTCTCATGGCTTTGACCTGACCACCTCCAATTAACAACCTGCAGGCATTCAGAAAAGCCTGTGAAATGAGTGATGCCTAAGTCAAGGGACACCATGAAGTATGGCATGGGGATCTTAGGCAATTCAACCTTACTGTGTCAAACGTGCAGAATGCTTAAGACTTTTGATCTCATGTTGAGACTTCTCATGTCATGGGTTCTCTATTGCAACCTGCCTTGTGAAAACCACACACCACAAAGGAAGAAATTGCTGCAGACACGCAGCAAGACCAGCCTCTTCTCCGGATGAGCGGATAGAGCTGCTTCTCCATCACCACACAAAGACCTGTTGGGCTAACCTTTCATCCACAGAAACAGCTACAGAAAACGTGAACAATCCTATCAACTTGAAACTTTTTCCTTCCTTAAGCTACTGGTAGGAGTTCTCTCACTTCTACACTTTTTCTGTATACATATGAAAGGTGGAAATATCTCAATGAGTTACCAATCTGCCCAATGGAAGCTGAACTCCCCACTGGCCTCACTGTACCTTGGTGTGAGAGGGTACTCTCTTTAAGCCATCACCTTGCTGATGTGCAGCATTGCTCCCAAACAGGAGCATCTATCCACACTCCTGTTCACTTGACACGTGCTGTTACCCCCCTCATACCCCTGGCTGGTCTAGCAGCAGGGATGAAGCCAGTGGCTGGCAGGGTAGCAGTGCTCCTCCAGGGCCACGGTCACAGCCTGTGTGGCCTGTCTGGTTACTCTTCTTTGCTCTGCTGGCTGGGCACCAGCACTTCCAGATGGAGAGCTAGGAAGCAAAGCCCCTGTGGGGAAGCTGATGCTGATGCTGCAGAACACCTCCACCTCCCTGTGAAGCCTCTGATATTGGCCCTTGCCTGTCACGGCCTCCCAGGTTAGAGAGCAGTTTGTACAAAACTAGTTTGCTCTCTCAGGACAAATAATGCTGTCAGTCACGGCTCACTTCATAGCCAGCCCCTTAAGGGGCTCCAATGTTGTTGCCCCATGTGTCTTTTTGCTGCAGGTGTTCTGTCTCCTGGGTGCCACTAAGCAGTTCTGTGATTGCAGGCAGCTGGTCCCTGGCAGGTGGACAGTCACTTGTGAACAGGTCTGGGGCAGAGGATACCTCACCACAGCTGAACTCTGGTCAACAGAGTTTGCTTTGAGATCCTGCACTCTAGTATTTTGTATGGAGCTGAGCATCCCTCACTCCAATAAACTCTGCCAGGAGAACAGAGCAGGGGAAATGGATGGTGCAGCTCAATGCCAGCTTCTACAGCAGGGAAAGCAAATAAACTTTCCTTTCCAAATAAACTCGTTTCCTGAATATTGTATTCATATATATCAACAAGAAGCACATTCTAATTCACAGGTATTAAACACAGTTAGGCTTATTTTATCCTTGAGGAAAAAAGACTGTCTTTATTTTCCATCAGTGGAAAAATTCCCACGGGACTGTCTTTGCCCACCACATGTGTCATCTTTGCTGCTGTTTTATCCATAGCTCTTTTCTAAGCAGGTTGTTATAGTCTACAATTAGACCAGACACATATCAATAACACCAGACAGCAGGAATAATCTGAAAACCAGTAAGATTTTTAATCTGTATAGATTTCAAAGAGAACCAGCTTTGTTTTTCAAGTAAAGGCAATCAAATGTCATCCTCAGACTTTTGCCAGGTATTTTGTCAGTATCTGCTTATCTTTTGCTGGGCCTTGCAAAGGCAGGGTAGTAGCAGACCGCCAGCTCTATCGCAGTATGGATCGTATTTTAACACAGATGCTTCCTGACAAACTTCTTCCCCTTTCACCCACATCTCAAGCACATCCCTATTCAGTCTTGCCTGTAGCATCTATGAGACAACTCCACCAGCCAATTCTCAGCAAATGTAAAGGATCTATTTTTAGAAGTCTTTAAGATGGCAAGAAATGCTGACCTCAGAAAACTGTGAATAACAAGCTCCTTATTTCTTCTTCCCTGCGTGCTCTCTCTGCGGAAGCAAACCACCACTATCTGACCAAATCACTCCAGAGTCACCACCAGAGCAGGGCTGCATTTTGAGCATCTCTACTCCTTGATATATTCCCAAAAGTGTTGTCCATGTCAGCCTCACAGGTCCGATTTGAATTCCCCCGTGCTGTCAGCCTCAGTGCCTTCTCTGCATGCAACACGGGAGGGGATGCGGTGACTCACCCAGCCCCGGGATCCCCCCTGCCAACCCACTGTTTGTTTGAGTGATTTTATTGTTGAAGCCCTGTTGCCACATTTGTAACTATACATTTTTTTTTTTTTTATGACAACCAGAAGTTCAGTTTTATAAACAGATGCTGTTGTGGGCCTCTCTTACTCAGCTGGATCAGCGTCAGCCGTTTTTCCAGGCTGCGGTCTCTGCGCTGCACACTGAGTCACAGGCAGCCCTGCACAGATTTCTTTGAATCGCTGGTTTCCTCCCAGAGACTCTTGACACCCTGCCAACAAAACAGGGCGTAGCTCATTAATTTTATTTTTTTTTTCCTTCTCTTTAAAGGCAGTCTGATTCATAGTAACTCCTTTAAAACAGAGTGGAAAGACACCACCCTCCCACACCACCGGAGGAAACTTAAACCCCCAGCAGGTCACTCCCCTTCACTCCTGCTCTGCGCTCCGGGACACCGGCACTGCAGCCCAGCACGCTCCTTCTTCCACAGGTGCCAGCACCCGCCCCAGCCCACACGGTAAGAGCTGTTCTTGAAAATCCTCACCAACTGTGCTCCCTCAGTGGCTGCTCTCCTCTCCTAACAGCACCAGTCTGCCTTTCTCCTCTGCCCCCTCACTTCTCTTCGTCTTGGCACTCGAGCTGGTTATGGCACGCACCTTAATTTTCATCTTTTGCTTTGAAATCCAGCTGCCTTACGGGGCAAAGGGGCTCTGCAAAGCACCCTGGTTGCAGCCTCGGAGTGCTGGCAGCAGCAATGTTATTTTCACCTCCAGGACACGTGCAGCCAGGGTGCAGGCACAGGTGCCCAACCTGGGCCAGCTCACGCTCAGGAGCTGCTCTGTGCTTTTGGAGTAGCATTGTTGACAAATGTGGAAAAATGCCTGCTTGGAATTAGGGCTGCAGGCTCAGTTTTTCTGGCGCTCAAATACTTCTGCTTGTCTCTCTCCCCTCCATAATTAGTTTGCCAAGCTCTAATTTAAAACAATAGCAATCATTCCAAGTGAAGACTGAGAGGCCCCAAAGCCGCAGACTCTGGAGTACAATGGAGACAATCCCTTTTTTCCAGGGGTTCTGGCTCCTGAGGCTGAAGCCAAGCCCCAGTTCTGAGCAGAAGGGCCGCGTGAAGGGCAGAAATTTGTGTTACACCTTCTGTGGCAGCACAGCCACTGGAGTGCGGAGCACTGCGAGGCAAAGTGGGGGAGCGAGTGGAATTGCTAGAGCACCAAGGTCTGCTGGAAGGGTGTGTCGAGGAGCTAGAGACACTGATGGGAAGTGTAGGATTGCAGAGACTGGCAATTCTCCCTCTTCACCTGCCTTTTTTCTACACAACCACCCCCTCTTTTTTTCCCTCCTCTTCTTCACCATTTCTCTTGTTTCGTCTGCCTGCTGCGGTTTGCATCCTGCGGTCAAATCCGAGCTATTTTTGAGGTCTGCAAAAGGGAGTGCAGCAAAGCCAGTTTGTTGGCACCACACTGGTTCCTGTTGCAGGAACTCAGCCCGCCCCTGCACAGTTTCAGGGGTTTGAAAGAGACTGAACAGTATTTAGCCCAATACAGCCAGGAATGGGTGGGGCTCAGGCTGGGACTGTGCATAATTACTATATGAATGAGCTAGAAGCTGAGCTGACAGTAACTTTTTGGAAAAAGGATGGATTTTGTGAATTTTTAAGTCCCCTCTGGCCCTGCTGCTTGTAGCTCAGTCATGCAGTGATGCCTCTTGACTAAGAAATAAATGTGTTTGGAGTGGTGGGGAAACTGACTGAGGCAGCAAGTGTTTCCAGGGCATCAGAAACTGGAATGGGAAGAAAGCATTTTTGGAAGTTGTCACTTAACAAGATTAACAACTAAATCATACTGATATTAAAAAAATGCTGTGGCCACAGAACAACTTTCACTCAGAAGCTTTGAATTCCTCAAGGCACCTTTGAGAGCAGATTTGCCCAGAAACTGCCCACTTGACATTTCTGGATGTAGTGGGATTCTTTTCTGAGCAAACACTCGAGGGAGGTGGGCATGAAGAGTGTGAAAACCTGGAGCCTATTAGCTACTCTTCCTATGATAACAGGGGTTTAACCCAGCCAAATGCCTCCACCCAGTCCACCTGGGGACTGTGGGCACTGAGGGAGTGAGGGCTTGAAGGCAGCTTATTTCTGTTTGCTCCTGTGGGGATTAGCATCGGAAAAGGATCAAGACTGAGGAACCTTACTAACACTGCAGTGCCTGGAAGCACCCCTTGAAATGCAGCATGTTGATGTGGCCCTGCAACCCACCCACACTGAGGAATTCCTGTCAGTAGGCTCCTGTGGAAGCTCCCCAGCTATGACTAACCACCCAGACATGTGACACACATGAGCCATTCATCCCGGCCACCCCTGTGTGAGCCGGGATCTCCACTGGGCACATGCCATCCCCAGGGATACCCCTGACAGCCAGGGAGTCCAGCCACACCCAAGGACGCCTTAATGCAGGAGTGCCTGACCTGGGATCCTGTGGAGAAGCACCAAGTTTGGGAGTGGGTGCCTCAGCTGCAGGGCTGCTAGCGCTCCCCCAGTGAGACCCTGCTGCTGAGGACACAGAGCCCTGGGCTTGGAAAACCGGCCTTTCTGGCCTAGCTGGTGGTCTTTGAGTTTTGTAGTGTGGGAGCGGTGCAGTGCATGCAGGAATTACTGTTTGGCGGTCTGGGGTGGAGCAGAGGTTGTATTTTGAAACAGTTCTGGGAGATATGCTGATAATAGCCAGCATGTTTTTGGTAAAAGAGCCACCTCAGGGCCTTGCTTATAATGAGACTGGGGAGATTTGCTGCAAGCATTAATCCTTCTCTCCATTCGTCACCCTCCCAGCCGCAAGGCTCGCACACGGCACTTAGCCTGTGCCCTCTTCTGTTTCCTCAGAGCAAGCAAAAGCAGGAGGGAGCCTGCTTCCACAGCCCTGCCTGCTCCCATGGGCCTTCATGGGGCCCATAATCCCCAGCTGGCTGCTGGGACACCCTCCCGTGGCATGTTTCCCCTTGCTCAGGCCTGGGTCACTCAGTGCTCCTTTCACTGAGTGCTGCATGGATGGCAAAGGAGGAGACACCTGATGCTGGGCTGGAATTTGCCCTCAGATGCTCAAGTGCCCTGTAAGGCAGAAATAGCACTACTAGACCCCTTTGATCTCAACAGGTTCCTGTGCCTGTACCTTTCAACAGGGAAGTGACAGTACTGTCACCCAGCGCAACATAAGGCAGGCTGCAAGGCATGGCACTCCAATTTTTTTTTTCCTTCCTTCTGTTTTCCAACAAAAAATTAATGAACTAAAACTAAGAAATGAGATTTATTTACCCTTCCTTCAAGGCAGGGAGCTGCTCTTCCACTCCTCTAAAAGGGAGGGTGAGGAAGGGGATTTCCAATCTTCACATCTGAAGATGGATGTTTAATACTTCATTGGTCTTTTCTGCTGAGGCAAAGCAGCATTCACAGAAAAGGAGGCTCTTCTTCATGGCCCTGCCGGGATTGATAACTAACTCACAGTCATTTCAACAGTGGCTGTGAACAAATGTGCTGAAGCACATCTCAGTTATTCCTGTATTGATCCCCTGTCAGGGCCAGTCCGTACCCAGTCATCCCACAGCATGACACAGGGTGAAGCAGCAGTTGCCTGCATGAACTGCCCAGAGGGAAATCTGGAGTGCCTCTTAAGCTGCTTTCTGCCATTACACTGCAGGGAGAGCAGCAAAGCAGCACATCTCGGGGCTGCCATCTGGAGTGTGATTTCTTCAAACCCTGCTGGGAGAGTTTTGGAAAGTACCTCTTTAGCTAGAACAGCTTGACAATGAACAAAGGAAACTCTGGCCAAATTTGCAGCTTCATGCATCCTGCTCCTCTTGAACTGTATTCAGGAGGGCAGAGAGTATATGGAAGGTGCTCTCTTGGTTAGACCAAATATAGCTCATGCCTTGTCATAGAAGGGAGGGACAGGTTAGGACAGCTCAGCTCCAGAACCCACATTGCCCAAGGGAGTGACAAGTTTGCCAAGATCATAATTGAGATCTATCCCCTTTACCCTGTGAAAACAAGTCTGTAGCAGAGGCATGGGGAGACACCCATGAGGAGAGCCCAGGGACAGATCTGGGCTGGGTCATCCCCAGTCCTGCAGGAAATGCACTGAACCCTGAGCACTGGGGTGGCTGACACAGGTGAACAGTGACTCATGCTGAAGGCTTAGCCCTTGTGATGTGAGGCCACCTGGCAATATGTTTTTGTATTTGAGGAAATCCAGGGTGAGGACCTTTGTTGTCCTTCTGCCCTCGCAGGGCAGAGTCTGCTGAAGGAGGGGAGTTGTGAAAGCAGCCTCCACGATTGGGTCCATTGTCCACATTCTTCTCATTCCAGAGAGCCTTGTATTGGCTCCAGCAAGCCTCTGGGAAGGATAGTGAGAGCCTTGGGAGCAAGAGGGGAGCTACACAATGCTCAGAGTCTGGAGCAGGCTGGTCAGAGAGTTGCTGAAGAGCAGCTCCAGGAATGTGAAAGCTGAAGGAGAGCCGGGCACATCCCCTGGCTGTGGCAGCCTGGGCAGCGGAGCCAGCCTGCCTGTGAGCTGTGGGCTGTGGGCCGGCCTCCAGGGCCTGCAGCTGGGCCAGCGGCTGTGCCCTCAGCAGGGGAGCTCCTGATGCCTCCCGAGCCACGTGGAACATGAACCAGCTTATATCTTACTGATCACAGGTGTGAGGAGCCCTCTGAGAGCCAGATGGGGTATTTTACACCATGGCCACCCTTACCCCACCCTGTGCAGAGCACTGACCAGCTCCAGGCTGCACAGCCTCCTCCTGTGTCTGCTATACACATGCTCCCCCCAGTTCATCTCTTGTGCACTTCGGTTGAAAGAAGGAGCTTTCACACAATTTTGTATTTGAATCCTGAAACAGTCTTTTCCAAGATGGCTTGCAGGAGCAAAGGCAGCCTGAAAGCAAACTGACCCAAAAGCTCAGACTCTTTAGATGCCCCAGTCACGCTTTCCTCAGCGTCTCATGGGCTGTGCTTGCATGTTCAGAGGTTTTGCAGTTTTGAGAGACAGACACACTGTAAGATGCAACTTTTTTTTTTAGAGTTACCCTCCTTTGGAAAAGAAAAAAAGGAATATCTACACAAGACTGTCTGTGCAAATCACAGGACTGCAGTTTTAATCCAAGAATGCAGCCAAAAGCACAGCTGATGTGGGCTTCACAGTCTTTCAAAGAGGAAAAGCAGGAAGTCCCACCACAAGTGATCTGTGTACTTTGCTCATACCTCTCTGTAACCTGAGCTTTCCTGTCAGAGCTGTCAGAGAGTTTCTCCCATGTGGGCACTGCCAGTGTGACACAGGTAGATGACCCATGCACCCATAAGGAAGCTGTGCACACAGACAGACACACAGACAGAGTTCACAGGGATCCCACAGATGCACATTCCCAGTCATGGGGGGAGCCACACAGAGCTGTAGATGCACACCCTACACACAACACCTCAACACCCAGACTGCCGGTCCTCCCACAAATGCTTCT